TCTCAGGAAATTCTGAGGGCTTTAGGAGCTTTGTGCTGGGAACTAAGACACCAAACATTAAAACCAAAGATGTTCTAGCACACCTGTCACCCAGGAAATGACAAAAGAGTTTTAGAAACTCTGTGCCAGGAACTAGGGCCAGAGACCAAATACTTATTTCTTATTATGTCACATATGTCTTACCTACCTGACAGTTTCAGTGAAAATGTGACCAGTGGAATAAAACCACTTTGAAAAAAATAATCAGGACTTGCATGGAGCGATGTAAGGCAGGGATCTCCCAGTATGTCCAGTGATGGCCCAGTGGGTCCAGTGATGGCCCAGTGGGAGGTGGTGAGGTACAGAATGGAAAGCCTCTGGTCCGAGGGCTCAGACCAGAAAAGGGGCATTAGAGCAGCCCCACTGCCCCGTTCTCCCCGAGAACGTAACTGGGAATTTACCCAGCCTGCCAGGGCCAGTCAATCTGGCCCCACTTACTTGGAGGGCCGCACATAACGCGGGGAATTGCTGCATAGCCCAGGAGAACAGCCCTGAATCACGCCCGAGCCTTTCTGTAAAGCTAACGGATAAGAAAAGGGTACCTTATAGGGTTTTCCTTCTTGAATTATTGATTAGACTTATTTTCCTCCTGTGGTATTTAAAAGATCTAAAACCCTCCAAGGGGCAGGAGTCTCTTGCGGTGCTCAATGCTTGTGGCGGGGACCCTGTCCTGCCGTTCTTCAGCTGCCTGTCCTGGGGGAGGCTGAGCCCCAGGGAAGGAAAAGGAGCTCAGGGACCCCTGAGGCTATTGAGGCATCAGCCCCGCCCATAGTTCTAGAACTCGTAAGATGGTCTAGCCCGGTGGTTCTGCAAGGGTGGTCCTGAGGCCAGCATCGCTGGGAATGTGCTAGAAATGCCCGTTCTCGGGCCTCAGCCCAGACCTGCTGTTCTTGTCTCTCCGTGAAGCACTCAGGTCTCCCATGTTAAAAGCAGCTCAACACCTCCTCCGTGCAGCTGCCTGGTGAGGAAGGTACCCGTATGCTCCCGCAGGCCACATCTTCACTGCCCAGCACGGAGCCTGACTCAGAGAGGGCTCCATAAATATGAGCCCAAAGATCTCACAGCTCTGTAACCGCCCCACCCTGCTGCTGCTGGTC